CCTGCCACATCCCATATGTCTGGCTTTTGTCCACCTCTGGGCTTCATCTTATATCCCTTCCCACTCCCTCTAGCCTAGCCTTATTGGTTTTTTATTTACTCCCAGAATATACATTGATCAATCCCACTAGGGCCTTTGTGCTTACCAGAACTGTCTTTTTTCAGAGCTTCTTGTGCTGGTTCCTATCAGTAAATTTGTTGCCCAAATGTTACCTCCTTGTAGCCATCTTTTTTGCATCTCTAAGTAATCTTTATCCTCTTGTTTCACTCCTTCCTACTGTGACATATCACTATATTATCTTATCTTTTTTATAGATATAACTGAGAAAATTTCCTCTCCATAAATTTATGATTTTACTATTGATATCTCTTCTCTACTCTTTTATTCTCAATTCTAATATAAACTCCATGAAAGCATGAGTTTATTTCATTCACTACTGAATCCCTGAATCTATAATGGTGCCAAGCACCTACTAGGCTCCAACAAACAGATTTGGGGTGAAGGAATGAGTAAATGGAAGAATTTTACTTTTCAGCTTAAAAGAGAAAGAGGGCTGTGGTTTACAGGGATGCAGGTCCAACTCCATCACAGTACATTTTCAACGTGGGGGAAGCTGCTGTCCTTTCTTCTCTCCATTCTTCTTCCTGGCCTGTCTTTACCACTGGTGGGTTCTGAAGAGTAAGGAAAGGTTCAGTCCTAGATCATGAAGAAAAGTTATGTTACTTGAGAAGATAGGACACGTGTGAATTGGAAAACACATGGGTTTAACTGGGTTGGATAAAGGCTAGGGCCATGATATTTGGATTAGATCAGTGGTCCCTGAACACTGGCCAACTCCATCAGAGTACCTTGAAGGAACTTGTAAACAATTCAGTTTTATGAGTCCTGCTTCTGGTAATGAAGATTTAGGAAGTCTGAAGTGGGGGTCAGGACTCTGAATTCACGTAAAGTTTCCCAGGAGATTCTTAGGATTTTCCAGGTTGGAAACCTCTGATCTGTAAGGGACTTGAGTGTGGTGGGATCTGGAGAGAAGGAGGCAAGGAAGCAAGATCAGCCCAGATGACAGCTGGGGGGAGAGGAGAAGTCCAAGCAGAGAGGTAGGAGTGGCAGGGCTAGATTTGGGGAGCAGAGGCTGTCAGCAATAGTATCCTTTTCTCTGCCTGCCAGTGGCCCGTTATCGTGTGACTGTATGCACAGGGGAACTTGAAGGTGCGGGGACCGATGCCAATGTCTACCTCTGCCTTTTTGGTGACGTGGGTGACACAGGGGAGCGGCTGCTCTACAACTGCAGGAATAACACTGACCTATTTGAAAAGGGAAATGTAAGTCACAGCAATGTGCCACCACTCTCCCTCAACCCATGTCCTCCCCCCATTTCCCTGTCCTTGTTCCTTGGTCTTCTCTTGCTTTACTAAAGTTGAGCTGATGGCTAATACTAGAGCCTCAGCTGTCAGAGTGCCTCACTTTGGGTGAGGAGAAAGGGAACTGAGGAATCCCAGCAGAGTCACTGGAGGGGCATAGAAGTGCCTGCTTCATGTGGTCCTTGAGCCTTTTGCCATCTCTGATTCATTAACATGCATCAATACCTGCTAGGCTCCCAGGGTTATCCAACTAGGAGCTGGAGCACCACCCTAGGAGGGGTCATGGTCCCCTCCCTACCCCTAAGAAAGCAGAACAGAAGGACATTTGGGGGATGGGGAAAGGTAGTGGCAGCATATTTCTTACCCCAGGGGTAGGTGAAGGGGAAGAATTCTGGGCATCTTCCAAGTGTCAACTAGAGGACCCAGAGTGCAGGAAAGCTGGATACCTAATGGCCAATAGGGGAACTTTGCATTCTCCTTAAGGTATGACCACTGTGGACTTCTTGTTCATGTCTTTTGTGAAAGAGAAACCAAGAAATACCCTAAACATGAGGGTGAGAGAATGTGGCTCTGTTGTTAACCTTGTCACAGATGTGCTAGGTGCTCTCTGCTGTTTCCCAAAACATCAAATAGGTTTTCTGAGGAGGTTGGGTGGAGCAATGGGGAAAAGGCCAGGCAGATCCAGGGCAAACCCAGCCTTGGGCCAACCATTCCATTTCCCTGAGCCTCAGTTTCTTTGTATCTAAAAAGGTGGGAAAGACTCCTACCTGTGTCTGGCTCTTGAACATTTAGGATGGCAGATGTGCTGTCTCTGGGGTCAGATGTGGCCCACATCACACAGTGGATGCTGAGGAAAGAGCTGTTGTAATAAAGGGAGGCTCATGGAGCTCACCTGGTGAAGGGAGTTTGCAGACTGCTACTCTGTCTCCTTGCTCTCCTGGTGAGGACAGGGAAAGCCCTGGAATTCATGGGATGGCATTTCTTCAGGGCTCATCCAAGCTGGCCTGATTCTTGAGATCATGGGCAACTGAAGGCTTGTGGTGGCAAAAATACTCTGAGCAGGATGTTGTGGGTGGACTCAGGTTCATTTGGGGAGATGAGATGGAACTGCCTTTACTTCACATAGCTTTTAAAATTTCCTTTCTCCTTCCCACCCACCCACCTTTCTCTCCACTCTTTCCTACTCTTTCCTCCTACATCTTATGATGCTTTTGTCCATCAATCCCACTTTCATGTTCCTGTCCCCAGAGGCTCCCAGGTGAGCTCATGCAGACATGGAGACTGTCCAGTCCCCTCTGCTGCCTCAGTGGCTGGCAAAATGTGAAGTTAACAAGCCCACCTGTTTTCCTTAATCAATTCTAATCATTCTCTTCCTCAGGAAGAGGTCAGTATCATTCTATAGGAAGGAGCAGCAGAGATTCACCAAGGAATTAATTCATGATAAACGATTAGTGACTGATGATGACTTAACACATCTGTTCTTCTAGGGGAAGCTGCCTTTTAAGAGGAGATCATAGGGAATGACTATTGTTTAACTGAAAAATACAGCCTCAGTTGTTGGTAACTTGACATTGAGTGATATTTCCATGGAGAAATTAGGGGGTGAGAGGCAACCTGTCCTTTATAAGTAGCCCTGTCATGAGTATGAAAGACTGGGCCCGTGTCTTCCTTTGGTGTTTGGGTCCCAGGGTGGCCATCATGCAGCTGGCCTTGTGGTCTCTCTCCCCTGAAGGCCGACGAGTTCACCATCGAGTCGGTCACCATGAGGAAGGTGCGGAGGGTAAGGATCCGGCACGATGGCAAAGGCTCAGGCAGCGGCTGGTACCTGGACCGAGTGCTGGTGAGGGAGGAGGGGCAGCCCGAGAGTGACAACGTGGAGTTCCCGTGTCTCAGGTACCCAAGTCCTGCCTGCTTGTGTTCCCTCCAGTTCAGGTCATGGTCCCTGCATTTTGGGAAGAACCACCCCTACTACTGGGACTGGCAAATTGGTCCAAGAAAGAGGTGGCTTTAGTGATGGTACTCAGACCTGAGCTTCACAGCTTCGAATACCCAGTGCTGAGTTCAACTTTTGAATCAAAAGTTTTTTTTAAAATAATAGCCTTTTGAGTGTATTTCTTCCTTGATGACAACTTTTCCGGATACGTCACTTTGTTTGTATTTCCTTTCCCCCAACTTACTAGTGAGATACGGTTTCTTTCTTTTTTCTTTCTACTCAAGCATTTGGATTTCTTACATTGCCAGCTTGGGCTCCCATTGACTTCTAGAAGTCCCTGATGGAGACATTTTAAAATGGGGGGGAAATTTCAGTGTTTTCCATATTATCAGATGGGCTCCCACGTTTACATGCAACGACATCTGGGAGGTGCACACAGCATGATTAACTGGGGACCTTGGACTGAACTGGCCCTACAAATCCTGGTTCTGGGACTGACTTCTGCACCTACAAATGAGACTCTGCATGTCCACTTCATTAGGACTAACCCAGGGCTTCTAGAGGGTGGCTACACTGACAACAGCCCACCTTTGAGC